CGTAGGACACCCGTCACATGACCACCGCCGGTCACATGACCCGGAGACATGACCCGGTCACATGACGCGGATCCGGCCCAGTCCCATGACCCGGTCACATGACCCGGTCACATGACCCGGATCAGTCAAATGACCCGGGGCTGTCACATGACGAGGACCCGGGCCGGTCACATGACCAGGACTGGTAACATGACCCAGATCGGTCACATGACCCAGACCCAGGCCGGTCACATGACCCGGACCCCGATCAGTCACATGACCAGGACCGGTCACATGAGCCGGTCACATGACCCGGTTACATGACCTGGTCACATGACCTGTGCCAGTCACATGACCAGGACCCGGACTGGTCACATGACGCGGTCACATGACCAGGACCCGGACTGGTCACATGACCAGGACCCGGACTGGTCACGTGACCAGGACCCGGACTGGTCACGTGACCAGGACCCGGACCGGTCACATGACCTGGACCGGTCACATGACCTGGACCTGGGCAGGTCAAATGACCCAGTCACATGACCTCGGCGGTCACATGACCCGGCTGTCACATGACCCGGTCACATGACCTGGGCCGGTCACATGACCTGCACACACTACCCGGTCACATGACCCGGATCCGGGCCGGTCACATGACCCAGTGACATGACCCGGTCACATGACCCGGACCTGGACCGGTCAAATGACCCGGTCACATGACTTGAACTGGTCACATGACCTGGGCTGTTCACATGAACTGTGCCGGTCACATGACCCAGACCTGAATCTATCGCATGACCCCGATTGGTCAAATGACCCTGGCCGGTCACATGACCAGGACTAGTCACATGGTCATGTGACCGGTCCTGGTCACATGACCACTGCTAGCATGGGAAGTAACCTCAGCTTCTTAGATAGATAGATAGATAGATAGATAGATAGATAGATAGATAGATAGATAGATAGATAGATAGATAGATAGATAGATAATAACAGTATTCATCAATGCAGCTGCTGCTTACTGATCCCTTTTTCTAATTCCGGCCATTTAAACTCCGACTCACAATGGCTGACTCGGCTCTAAACCCTCACCAGAGTTCACAGGGAGTTGTGTGTTTTTTTGAGCCGTGTGTGTTTGTTGAGCCGTGTGTGTTTGTTGATCTGTGTGTGTTTGTGTGTGTGTCCAGGTGTGTGTTTGTTGATCTGTGTGTGTTTGTGTGTGTGTCCAAGTGTGTGTTTGTTGATCTGTGTGTTTGTGTGTGTCTCCAGGTGTGTGTTTGTTGATCTGTGTGTGTTTGTGTGTGTGTCCAGGTGTGTGTTTGTTGATCTGTGTGTGTTTGTGTGTGTCTCCAGGTGTGTGTTTGTTGATCTGTGTGTGTTTGTGTGTGTGTCTCCAGGTGTGTGTTTGTTGATCTGTGTGTGTTTGT